CTCTCAGCAAAGTTCATACCATTTTGCCGAATAATACCCAGGCATTGTAAACGAATAAACACCAGGCAGGCATCATATTCGTACATAATGCCCGAGCATTAGTTTCAGTTTAAGGCAGTAGTAATCCGGACACGGGCTAACAATTTTCAGTGACAGAAAGATCACATTAAGGCAGTAGTAATCCGGACACGGGCTAACAATTTTCAGTGACAGAAAGATCACAAACTTGCATTTAGCAAACACAACGAACGGGATTACCAGAGTGCACTGGAGTTACATCCGCACTAGCGCGCCTGGTGTCAGAACACATCCAATTTCACTGGTGTCAACATTCCTTTCCTGGCCTCTACCCACACAACCCTCGCACATTCACCATCGTGGAAATGCAGAAACCAATCGCCACATATTTGCAAGACTGCCATCTAACAGACCAGAGAGGAGAAACAGACTCACCTCATCATCTTCCAGCAGGGTATTGAATACCGAGTCAATCTCACAAGTGAATACCTCACAGGACACAAACGGGTACCTGAAATGTCATGTCGGACAGCATCACTTGTGAATAACTCGACCAGAGGATGCAGACAACATCTTCCACAGTATGTTCACACTCACACAGCAATTCATTGCGAAGGTCATCCTACCCCGAATACACATGCCCCGTGCAGCTCAAGGCCACTATCAGACACCCATGCAAATTAAGACACAAGCAAAAGGAAAAAAAACACACCACACATGAAGCGAAACGCCTAACACATGCCTCTGCCAACATACTCTTCCATGTCGTTAATCAAAAAACCATAGCGGGTAAACCAGAACATGAGAGAGAAGGAAATAAAGTGGGCTGATTAAATACAAGAACGAGTGAAAAGGATCCTCTCAACCACCATCTTCCATTTGACCACTGCACATACCAACATCATCCTGCAGCAGTGCAAATGGCAAAAGAACAAACTCAGTGAAATAGAATTCTCCGTGAAGATGCAGGTAACAGCGGCCGAACGGCAAGATCCCTTGCACCTTGACTACATGTTTGATTAGACAAGCTTGATTGAATGTGTAGGATATGTGGGAACTGGTCATCGGTGAGAGCCAAGCTTGAAAGGCCACTCTTTCATTTCAGGATGTATACGTGCTGATTGGTTTGGTAGAACCTTGCATGGCGAGTAGTTGATCTAGGGCAGATGCCGAATCTGGGGTGCTTAAAAAGTCATGTTGAAGGCAAATCTGGCTATCCGCTGGAAACCTCCAAGCATCCAGCCAAAATAACGAATCCATGTCTGCGGACAATCAGCAAGCAAATACGTCTTATTAAGACTCAACCCTCAACGCCTGCATGCCAGACATCCCAAGCATATAACAGTCTGAACTGCCAAGCCATTAGAAGCTTGGGATTTAATCAACACTTCGCACCTCCAGGCTCAGGTTGCACTTTTTCACCACAATAGTAGGTGCCTGACCTATCGCTGTTCATTTCCAAGGCGATTAGATCAACACAATCACGTAAAGAGTAACGGAGGTGCACAACGGCAGACTCAGGTCAGCACAAAGCGCAACTGCAGAGCATAATGGTCAAAGCCTGCCTGACTGTGAGACCTACAAGTCCAACAGAGACGAAAGCCCGCCATAGTGATCGGGGATCCCTCCACATCCATTGGGATGTGCATGCAGTGCTGCTCCTAATTCTTTGAAGCATGCACTTCCCCGTCCCAATTTTTTATCAGATGTGTTTTAATTGAGATCACAAAGAGGACAACTATAACAAGAATGAAAGCCAACAAAATCCCAAAGCACAGCAAACTTCAAAGTCAGGGACAGAAACTACCAGGCAATGTTTCAAAGAGACAGACTTACTTGAACACCCGCTTCTCATCCGCTTCAGGAGAAGGCTCCTCGACCACATACCGAAGAAGCTGCAGTACCTGGGGTTTGGCCCGAAGGCTGAGAAACGCAAACCAATTGCAAAAGCACAAAATAAAAAATAGCACAACGACAGGCCAACGTCTTCCATGCTGGCATACAAATGAACACACTCCCTCCGCCAGAGGGAGTACCCCTAGCTTCATACTTGCTTATGCCATAAACCGATTGACAAAATTTCACAAGTTGAGAAAAGCCGCATGCAACAGGCCAACCTGCAAATGCAGAGACAAGCCGAAAAGCAGATCCCCTAACGAGTCAAACGAGCAGAGAAACATGTGCTTCCACATCCGTAATACAACTGATTTGGAGGATAGGAATGCGTGAAAAATGGCTGGACACCCTGCCGCAACCTGAGAACAGGTTCCATGCAGAGAGAACTTTGTTAAGAGGCAAACGAGTCTTCTTTCCATCATTTTATAATTTGCGGACGCACCAGTCAGGAGGCCCAACAAATAAGTGTTCCACTAAAGCAGGGGTCTGTGAATTGCAAAGTAGGACAGGACACATGGTATTACTACTACAATCCCTTCGCCGCCTGCAGCCTCTGTTCGTGTCCTCCATAGCAAACCCCATATTATTTCAGATTTTGCTACATATCGCAGAAAACTACGTCAGTTACCGTTTGCAATTAGGTCAGCCTCTAATGACGCAAGGATCATGTTTATAATGCACGAATCTAAACCATCTAACGGCCAGGTTCGTGCTTTCTGATATTGAACATAACAGCATTGTACGGCCTGCCACTTGATTGGTAAGGCCACCACGAGCTTCAAAGGTAGCTTGAATAAGAGTTGAGGATTTCCCGGTTACCAAACATGGAAGGTTCTTCAAGGAGGCACCGTAACCATCATGGAATCGTCAAAACAAAGGAGGAAATCAGCGCTGCAACTTGGGCTCGGACACCTTGGCTCAGCGACACACCAGAACGGAGTTATGTCTGTGCTAAGTTCTTACCACGAACCTGGTCTGAAAACTACCTGGATTCATCCTTGCTTGCCAAAAGTGTTGCTTCAAATGGATCTGACCGAAGAGGCTTACACAACCCCTGACTGCCAACATCCAAGACGGCCAGTTAAACAAGCTTCTTACCGGGCAAAATCGGGCCAGAAATGGAGCAGCAGCAGCATACTCAGCGCATACTCGGTGAACAATATTCACAAAGTCAAGAGTGACTCCGCATTGACCACCCCCCTCTACCTGCCTACCCGCCTTCACAACCCAGCATAACAACGCCTGTCATCCTTTTTAACGGCGTGCACGGACGTGTGCAGCTGGCGACCTACAGTGGAGCCCACTTATTCCACACACTTCGCTACCATGAAAACTTGTCACTCCTGCCAATGCACGACCTTGTAGTCATATATCTATTGCAACGGATCTACACATTATGCACGCCTTTGCCCTTGCGAGGGAGAGAACACAGAACAGAGACAGACCCCCCCCCCCCCCAACTTTCTATTACTTTTTCCCCCCCTTTGTTTTTCAAGTACTTCTCGGACTTTCCTCCAAATTTTTTGCAAGAGTGCCGTCATTGACGGCTAGTCTGCTAGTCGTATATATGTACCGTTTGGCAGTCCAAGCCAGAACTAGCTGACTGGTTGTGTGCCGAATCATGGTTCTCTCTCTCTCTCTCTATCTATCTATCTATCTATCTATCTATCTCTATCTGTGTGTGTGTGTGTGTCTGTGTGTGTGTGTGATCCACTTGGACCAACAAAAAGCCACCGTCCGAAACACAGTGGATCCTGCAATTCTAAAGAGACTGCTGAAGCCAACATCATTCATGAAAATCATAATAACCTTTCGTGACACAGCCACACACATAGGTCCCTCCGTAAGTTGTGCAGCTGACTTTAATCATTTCACAGAGAATGGCGCGAGTGACAAGACGGCTAACGACTGAGATTGGGCAGAAGAAAAAAAACGAGGGCAGAAAAGAAGAGGGGAAGGGACGAAAGAAGAGAGTGGAGCAACCGGGACCACAGGTGATCTGATATCGAAATAGCACGACAACCTGCACTTTCCAGAACGCAAAGGCAACCAGAAGATTGCAGTTCGACGACATAAAACAAGTATGAGGATCGGAATTAGATCAAGGAGACTGACAAGAACAGAGGAAACGAGATGAGGAGAGGAGACGACATAAAACAAGTATGAGGAGCGGAATAAGATCAAGGCGACTGACAAGAACAGAGGAAACGATGAGGAGAGGATAATACAGAAGCGAGACAAGTACTCACTCAGCTTTACAAGCTGGACATGTAAAGCTAATACACGCTCTTATCCCCACTTTTACCAGACCAATAACTGATCTATTCGTATTATTCATACTCGACAAACGTCTGGAGGCTGAGATGCATAATTGAGAAAGGGACGTCCCCAATAAAACTGAAAGAACTCAAACACAGGAGTAGAATAGACAGAAAACAGAGAAAAAGGAAGCTGGCGTTCGTTGTGGGGAAGAGAAAAGTTCAGCATTAGAATATGCCACACCACTTAGGGAGCCAAGGTCAGGTGCCGGTCGTCATCGAGACAACAAGGCATTTGTGAAAGAGTGATGTTTCTCGACAATTTCACTCTGACAAGCACGTCCCTGAACACTTCATACCAACACTTCCATCCATTTTACACTAAGCTTGGCAAAAGGAAGCTGAGTGAACACTAGCGAATCGAACCTGTCTACTGACGTGATCTACTGACACGACACGCAAAACCATCGACTGTCCCGCATCTCCCGCTTCTGAATCATTCCGTTACATATCTCTCTCTCTCTCTCTCTCTTGCACGCGCGGCGTAGTTGTTTGTGAGCAACTGAGTAACACACTTTCTACCTTTACATATACACCCCACAGAGCTGCTACCTATACATATACACCCCACGGAAATGAAGTGACAGAATTCACAGATTCACGCATGATTAAGAAACACCGGAAATTTTATGGGTCGAACTGTGGGGTCCGCGGCCCCTTCCACTTCTCTGATGATAAAATTGTTCGTGCTTTCCGATAATTAAAACAAAGCGACAAAACACCATTCACACGTGAGTGCCGTGCGCCAATGTTACTGCAACAGAGGAGCACTTGCCGAGCGTTTGGAAAAGGATACCTACCTATCCCGAAGAACAAAATCTTACAGACATATATCTGCCACCATTCGACAGTGTCATTGCTAGGTCGCAATCACGGTGCCAATATTTATCCGTTTGATGAAAGTCATTCCATCAATCCTCGATTCATGGACCCCACCACCACCCACACCATTGAAAAAAACTGGCGGGTTTACCTTTTTCGTCTCCCCACTAGAGAGTGAGATGACACAGAACCAACCACGAACCGCGTTCCCAACTTAGGTTGTTGTCTTCACTGGCTCACTTGCTCGCTCCTTGACGCCTCCACCCGCTCTCCACAGGAATCTTCGTTCTAGGGTTGAAAGTTCACCTCTGGATTGTCGAGCTTGTAAAAGAGCAAATGCTTTCCGAAAGGTAATGTAAATCTAAACGAGAAACCGGCCGAACAATATTCTTCTTAAGAGTCAAAAATTGCCGCCTCCTTTTCTGACCAAAACAATAAAAAAAAACTCCTCAACTAGACGTCGCGGGATTCACAGCGAGGTTTAAAAAAAAATTGGGAAACAAAAAAGTAAATGCTTTCCCAAAGGTAATGCAAATCTAAACGAGAAACCGGCCGAACAATATTCTTCTTAATTGCCGCCTCCTTTTCTGACCAAAAAAAAAAAAAAACCTCCTCAACTAGACGTCGCGGGATTCACAGCGAGGTTTTAAAAAAAAATGGGAAACAAAGAGGAACACATCCGCGGCATGTCGCTTAGAGACGCCGGAAACATTCAGACACCCCCTCTGTCCCAACGACACCTATCAGAAAGACCCTCCCACGAATGAATACGAATTCATCATCCAGCCAACACCACACCCCTATCCTCCCCGCCAGAGACTTATGCTCAGTTGTGCTTACACAAGTGTAGCGCATCGCCTACTCCTAAACACATGCTGAAAACTAATAAATATATATCCCTACTCTCCTATAGGCCTAAAAGAACATGCGAACAAACCGACCACGTTGGCTAAAACCTACTCCTGTTCTCTTTCCGCTACTGTAGGCCTAAAGTCTTGTGTTCTGATATATATTGTCACAAGAATATCAGAGCGCAAATACGAAAAAAAGAAAAAAAGAACAAAAAAATAAAAGAAAGAAAACCAGGAAAAATGAATTCAGTTTTTTATCTTCTTCCTTATAACTCCGCCTGTTCAGAACCTCTTGCGTACAAGGCCGCCCACGTGGATGTAGGTTGAGCGGCGGCTAGCCCCACCCCCGTGTGTCATATCGCCCCACTTGCACACAGCCAAAAGGCAAAGAGGCAAAGAAAAGAGGAAGGGAACAGCCAAATAATACAGAACAGGGGGCAACAAAACAGATCCCAGATGACAAGTCCCACATGCAAGCACCGCCCCTGCCCACAGGCCAAACGACGGGACAAGACCAACCAGGATGTCAAAACATTCTTGTATAGGTCAAACGACAGAAAAACGACCGGGAAATGAAACCATGTGTCATTCCCAGTCGTACAAAAACTATGCCAATTAAAACCTACTCTTTTTCTTTTTTCGCTAGGTCTAAATTATTGTTCTCTTACATACATTGTCACATTGTGAATCAGAGCGCAAAAAAGGGGAAAGAAAAAAGGAAAAGGAAAAAAGGGGGAGGGGGAAGAGGTAAGGAAAGCTCCACCTGTTGATAACCTCTTACGTACAAGGCCAGCCACGTGGATGACAGGTTGAGCGCTGGCTGCCCCCATCCCCGTGTGTCACAAGGACCCACTTGCACGCAGCCAAAAGGCAAAGAGGTAAAGAAGGGGAGGAGTAAACCAAACCTGACAGGGAAAGAAAGATAATCCAATTATCACAAAGCAAATAACACATCCCACAGATCAACGTATCTTTTTTTTTTTTTTTTTTTTTTTTTTTTTTTTTTTTTTTTTTTTTYTYTTTTTTTTTTYTTYTTTTTTTYTTTGCCTRCCCCCMCCTCGGCAGATAGGACAGCTACGGTGAGGATGATGTGGATGTTCACAAGGATGCCCAAGGAGAGCTGCGGCAGCACAGCATTCTGCAGGACGGCTAGCACGAACCATCCCATCAAAAGTCCTTACAGAGGACGTGTTGTCCACATGTCAAAAACACGGCAGGACGTTCATCACAGTGCGGCATCATACAGTTCTGATAGCGTCCTTGGGCACAATAGGGACAACGTATATCTGGGTGATAGGGATGTGTACCATGAGGAAATGTTGGACGCCCTTCAGGACAGACGGCGGCAGTCGCAATAGATTGATAATGGCTATGGCATAGATGATGCATTCCACAGCCAAGGCGCACCGCGTCTCTGTCCCGACAGGCGTCACACGAGAGTCGGTCAATAATCCAGAATAAAGTATGATTCGACAACGCTCGCAAAAATTCATTCACGTCGAAAATGACCTGACTCATCGTCCCACCATCCCACAGTTAACAAAAGAAACACACCCGGGAAATGAAAATGTGTCATTCCCAGTCTTATAGAAACTGGGCAAACTACGTGACCGACGCCAAGGTCTTTCACTTCATTTTTCAACTCGCTCATCACTCAGTCGTCGGCTCTCGTCCTTCCATCATCCCATCATTCATCACCGCTTTTGCACCTATCACACGCTGTCAGAAAATGGTCTGGCTTTGCCGTGATATTCCACAAGCTCTATTCCATATCGCTGAACGTACTAATTTGAATACTAAACAAACAAACAGCATCCATCTTCCGCGTCCTAGGCGCTCAGCGATCATCTTACAAGTCAGAAGATAACTTTTTTTTTTCATAAAGTTTTCTCATTACCTCATTTCCTGTGCTCGGCGCCAATCTTCCCCTACTAGCTCGACCATCCACCCATCCCTAGTTTATTCCTCCATCCCTAGTTTATTCCTCTCATTCACCAACTTCCCCCCCCCCCCCCCCCCCCCCCCCCCCCCCCCCCCCCCCCCCCCCCCCCCTCCTCCTTCAGCACTCACTCCTCTCCTTCTGCACTAGGATGTTCACGCTCACTCACCCACCCAATTATCGGTCACTCTCATCTAGTACGCTAACCGTATCAAGCCGTCCTTCTACGCCTCAGTCATGTGCCCGTTTGTTCCTTAAGTCATTGCCATATGCATCGGCGAGTACGTAATCCCTCATCCTCCCCCACCGCGTCATATTCGTTCATTGATTTCTTCACCGCTATTCCGTGCGCCCAGTCGTCAGTCGCTGACCCGCTCGTCCTGTCAGTCCACTTCAAGCCTTTTCGACGTTTCTTTGAACCGGTCATTCACCCGTGTATGTCTCATCATCTTTGTTAAATGACGAATGGGGGCACTCTCAAGCGGTAAACACCGGATACCACATTTAAAAATTCCGCTAGTGAGTCCCAAAGAACAAAAAACAAACCCTGCCTTGAAGACCCCGGCCCCCTACCTTCCTCCAGCAGAAACTGGCAGGCCTCACCTCTACTCGCCCTACAATCCCTCCTCGACTTCTTTCCCGAGGTATCCTCTCTTTCTTCCCAGCTTCCTCTATCTTAGTCCGCACACTTTCTACGGAACAATTTCCATCCATCATGACCACACTCGGCACACACGTGCATCCCTCACCAACTCCGCTGCACCTCTCTCTCTCTCTCTCTCTCTCTCTCTCTCTCTCTCTCTCTCTCTCTCTCTCTCTCTCTCTCTCACACACACACACACACACATGGCCTTAACTACCACTGCGTCATTGAACCTAAGAGAGCCCCTCACACGATGCACGGGCATTTATTCGACTGAGTAGATACTAACATGCGCTGTCAAAAACGCATCCGGCCGTCGTAGACCACACGTTATAGATGCAAGTTGTATCAAATTCGTAAACTCCTCCGAACAAAATCCTTCGCCGGAATTAATCGACCGCTCCTAACCTATCACACGATTAATGCAGAGTCTAGAAAAGCGCAAACCCTTCCTCTCATCTTACTGAGAATGCAGTGTCTACCGTCTTCCCCCGAACATAACGCACCCTAAAAATGAATGTATACAAGCTATATTTCCGGCCAGATGCAGTGAAAATAAGGTGCGTTGTGTGCGGGGGAAGAGGGTAGCAAGTAAAGACACTTCAGCGCATCGACACTAAGCAAGTCGAGCACAAACACACAAATGTAGACGAACTATTGAGGGTCAGATTCTACAAGGCAGACGAGAATGTGATAAAAGGAAGACAGACCCTTCCCTTGGCAATCAAATTCATTTTGGACCTTGAGAAGGAAGCGGACAGACAAAAGACGGGTGCGCACTAACACCGTGGCTATAGATCAAGGTGTACGCATGTGCATAAGATAGGCCACTACTTGCACTGCATCAACAAAGCTGCCTGAAAACCCCGACGGCGATCGAGATATCTCGAAGGAAAAAGCGAAAAGAGAAGAAGGCAAAGCAAAAGCAGCTCCACTGAGCTGCCGTAAGTGAAGAGGAAGAAAGAGAGAGGTATATGCCTCAATATAATATATATGTCCCGCGCGAGGGGAACAGATATATATTGCAAAATAGGGGAAACGGAGGGGGAGGAGGGAGGGAGAGACACAAAAGACGATTGCCTAAGGATCCGGCACGACGGGGAAGTTGGTCGGGAGACCACGCCGCGAATCAACCCGACGTTTGCGAAGAAGAGTCAGAATGAGAGGACAGCGGAAGAGTAAAAGCGATGAGAGAGATGAACAAAGCCCGAGGTTCCATCATGAGGCTTCATGATTAGAAAAGACACTCAGAGAGGAAGACGGAACAGTCATACGCACGCATGGCTTTTCTCCATTTCGATCGATATAATGCATTCAAGAAAAAGGACAAGCAGTAAGGGAGAAAGCTTTCTTCCTGCTACAGGAAAGAAACACCAACTCGTCGATGGAGGGACGTCCCATCAATTACCATAAGAAAAATCAGGAAACCCATGAGGGTACGCCTGGAAAGCGATGATGCCCGGGGGAGCAAAATACAAACACCCCGGAAGAGGACAACAAAATAATAAATAAATAAAAAAGTCAGGAGAATTACGCCGCGACAACCACCAACTACGAAATGCGAAAGAGGCTGCTTCAAAATGAAACCCGCCGAAGAGGACATGCACAGAGAGCGCAATGACGAGAAAAGAGCACAAACCGGTCACTGAAAAGGCTCCATGATGTCGGGAGGCCTGTGACGCACCGACGCCGCCGATGGGTTTTATCGACGGCGGGCCCAGCCTCCTGACATGACATGACACTTCTGGTAGTAGTCGGCTACTACACGAAATTTGGAGGCCTGCAGGTAGTGGTAGTTTTAAAAAACGGTAAGAACGGAGGCCTGGCACCGCCAGTCGGGGAAAAGGAGCTCGATAAACCAGGTAGGCCTAGGAGACGAAGTGTGGCCATGTCAACAAACCTAAAGAGAAAGAATGCTAACACAGCGACGAAAACACAGACTATGATGAAAGTCAAGTGTTTTGCACGATTGAGTCTGTTTAGTTTGAAATCAAGCTCACTTGGGGGAAAATGGTGAATACTTAAGAAAAATAAAATAAAATAAAGATGGTGAATACGACAGACTTAAAATATGTTCCTACAGGATACTGGTTCACGTCGGATAGAAACATATCAAGGAATAGAATGCCACCAATTCTTCCAGTTACTATAGGGTCTACAACCAGACATTACGATAGAACCCCCTTCCTTTCCCCCGTTCATAAGGTACTTGCATCACCGCGACCTGCACTTATAAGATCGCAGATGGAGAATTATTCAGGAATTACATTATTCACACCGCACAACAAGCGAGCACAGGCATCATTATATAATAGAAAAGACGCTTGAGCAAACAAGAATAACATACAGGCTGAGGCATTCGCGAAGAATCGGCAAGGAATATGGAGGCCGTGGTTGCAGTCCTACTTACAAGGTGAGCAGACGGGTGCTCAAAGCTTTGCACTCCTGTATAAGGTCATCTTCATCGAGCAACTCCTCCAGTGTGTAAGAATCCCTGTCGAGGATAATGTCCACCTGTGCATACACCACAACCAACAACGAGACGACGCCGATTTCAACAATATGCCTCCCACACTTTCACCCACCATCTCTCCACCCACCATGCCTCCCCCTGGTCCAATCTCCCTTTTCCCAATTTCCTACCGCCTCCCCAAAAGACCTGAATCATTTGTGACCAGATCTCTCTCCTGATAGCGACGAGAAAACAAAGAACCATAATCGACTGCTATACCCAGCACAGAACCTCTCTCTCTGTCTCTCTCTCTCTCTCTCTCTCTCTCTCTCTCTCTCTCTCTCTCTCTCTCTCTCCACCTAATCGCCCCCGTCTCCTGTTTTTTCCCTACGCCTCTTTCCCTCCCCCTAAACAACCACCATCATGCCGATACACGAACACTCATTCGCTTCCTTTCATTTGCCTCAGCGCATCCTCACCACGCGCACGCGCACACGCACCTCCGCTCCGAAGACGGGTTAACAGGACGATACGGATGTTCCACGCTACGATGCGCTTATCTCAGTTGCACTACGATGCGCATATCTCAGCTACGATGCGCTTATGTCAGTTGACACTACGATGCGCTTATCTACGTCGAAACTAGGGTGCAGAAAACCATTTGACGAGACGGATGTTCCCCGCTACGATGCGCGCTTATATGACGATGCGGATATTCCACCCGTGCTGCTTGCTGAAGCCCAGAATCAGAAACACAAATGGAGGAAAGAAGGTCAAAAGGAGACAAACCATAGAACAGAAAGGAACACAAGGAGATGAAACCGGCGGGGTTAGGAAGATAAGGCAAACAAGGGGGAGCAGAGATACCGGCATGAAAGAGAATGAAGAGGAAACGACAATTACACTATTAAAAAAAAAAAAAAAGGAGGACAAAAATGACTAAAAGAGGCGAAGACGACAGCGAAATAGCGCTACAAACAAACGATACGCAGATAGCCAAGAAAAGAATAGAAAAGAGAAGTGATAAGGAGAGGGAAAATGTCTTCCTATTCACACACATTTCTGCAGGACTGACGTACCGTGAGGAGAGAGCGGACAGAAGATTGGACATGAGAATTTTTCCGTCTTGCAAGACGGGCAAGGTGGACGAGGGAGGGTCAGGAAACGCGACGGCAAAAGGAAGAACGGTAGCCAAGGGAAATCCCGTAAGCAGGAAGGAAGGAGAGAACAGCGAGAGATGTCACAACTTCGACAACAAATAACGAGTCGGAGAGTTCATAGAGCAGAGGGAAGGACGAGGACAGGAGAAGGGGGATAAACAAAAAAAAAAAAGGGCGAGAAAAAAAGAGCGAGAAAAAGAAGGGCGAGAAAAAGAAGGGCGAGAAAAAAAAGGGCGGGAAAAAGGGCGGGAAAGAGGGTTACGGACCAAGAATGAGCGAGGAGAGGGGACAGAACAAACCAAACACGATGACGAGAGAAAGCAAAGGCGGGAAAAGTGGGGGAGGACGGGGTATATTCACAAGAATAAAATTACTTACTGGGGACGTCGTAGCAAGGCCGGTCACGCGCCAAAACATTTTTCCTCCCGCCGAGACCGACCTTTACAAATGGGTCGACCGACCGCTCAGCGTTCTTCCTCCGCTCGTCCTGACCTCTTACGGCTGTCTCGAGGTGCATGAGCAGCAAATCACCTACCCTTCACGTATACCCAACCCTACTGGAGGGCGCTTGTTCACCTCGTCCGCCCTCCCTCCCACCCCCCTTCTGAAATCCGCCTCTTCCTAATATACCCTAATAAAAACGATACGCCGACTCTTTCGCGACGCCTACGTGTATCCAATCCACCACCCTGCCTCTTCCCTTCCCACCGATTTCAGCATTCCCCGAGCCCGCCAAGCCGGCTACCCACCCACTCATCCCCCACCCCACCCCCCCACGTGGCGATTCTCGCCGTCCTATGATGCTTTCAAAAATCTCCACCTTTCACTTCCCACAATTTCACCTGCGCCTCCGCCTTTCGTTGCCAGGTATGGGAGACCTCGCTCCCTCAGCTCATTAGCTGCCCCCCTCCTTCCACGACGAGTAAAGGGTTTGCACTCCGCACTACCCCGACCGCTACGTCGTCCCCCCCTCCCACACAATCAAAGCAATCTGACCCTCCTCCGTCCTTGCCTCCACCAACTCCAACCTCCCAGAAGACGCCCACGACGACTCCCCACCGACCCCCCCCCCCCCCCCCGCCACGTCCACTCGGGGTACGGAAGCCGTCCCTCTTCAGTTTCAATCTCCACCTTTCATTTTTCGCAAATTCATTTGTGCACACCTTGCCGTCCAGAATCCGACTGCTTTCCAACGTGAGTGCGACCACGTTTTCTGCAAATTATATTCTCGCCAAACGTGAGTGCGACCACGTTTTCTGCAATTCCCCGCCAACGATGAGTCCGACAGAACCTGTGGAACCGGGTTCGGACAACTATGAGAACGTGTATCGGAGCGCAAAGGCGAAGATAACAAAACAGAAACATACTACAAAAAACATATATCATAGAAAAAAAAAGAAAATAATCACATATACAATAGAAAAGAAAAGAAAAGAATCACAAAACTGGGTGTTCTGACAAATTACCGAAGGCATCATGCGAGAACTGAGAAGGGAGAAAACCTGGGCGTCCCCCCCCACAATATGAAAGGACGGAAAGGACTGTACATAACGACAGCTAATGAGGGTAATTATGACAATATATAATATCATATATATGATATAACACAATAAGAAAGAAACTTACAGACGACGCGTTTTTCTAAAATAAGACCGGTAAATGGAGGTGGCTCGCTTTGCAATCGTACTTACAAGGAGAGCTAATGCGTGCTTAAAGCTTTGAACCCTTGGATACTTGCATCTCTGTCAGGCAACTCCTCCAATGAGAAAAGAGTCCCTGTCAAGGATAATGTCCACCTGCATGCATAACCAGCAACAAAGAGTCGACACCGAGTTCAACAAAAAGGCCTTACCACAATCACATACCATTTCTCCGCCTGGCCCAAGGTCTCTTTCCCCCCTCCGCCCTATTGCCGCTCCAAAAAACTGAAACTTTAACTGCCAGATGTCACTCCCGACAGAGGCATTCTCGGTCAAAAAACAAAGAACCAACATAATCAAGTGTCAATTCGCCCCAGCACCTCTCTCTCTCTCTCTCTCTCTCTCGCCATCCCCTCTGCTCCCTCTTTTCTCTCCGCCTCTTCCTCACTCTTTCCCCTCCATGCTCCCGCCCCTAAACAAGCGCCATCATCATTCTCCTATGCAAACACTCGACGTCCCCCTCTTCCTTTCGGGCGTCCTTGCGTCCTCAGCCCCGGGCACATGCACTCCGGTTACTAAGTCTTCTTGAAAAGCGGACCGGCCATCTCCGGGAAAGGAGCTCGAGAAACCAGGCAGGGCTAGGAGACGAAGGGTGACCATGTCAACAAACCTACGGAGAAAGAAAGCTAACACAGCGAGCAGAACACCTACTATGACAGTCCCGTGCTTTGCATGAATGATTGAAATCGACCTCACTCGGTGAAACTGGCAAATACGACGGACATGAAATATGTACCTACCGGTTATCTGTTCAAGTCCGATAGAAAAATCGAGTAGAATGCCATCTAAAACGAGACATTCGTTAGGACCCCCTTCCTCGTTCGTGAGGTATTTGCGTCACCGCGACCCGCACTTATAGAACCGTAGATGGACGTGCGAATTCACAAATTAAAACACCAGCACAGTCATATGAATAGACTTCTCGAGGAAGGTATGGTTAATACACTATTCACACCGCACAACAAGCGAGCACAGGCATAATAATTATATAATAGAAGGGGACAGGCAGAGGCAACAAGAATAACACACAGGCTGAGGCAAGCACGAAAAATCAGCAAGGAAAATGGAGGCCGCGTTTGCTGTCGTACTTACAAGGTGGGAGCTCAAAGCTTTGCACTCCTCTATGAGATCATCTTCATCGAGCACCTCCTCCAGTGCGAGAGAATCCCTGTCGAGGATAATGTCCACCTGTGCATACACCACCACCAACAAGGAGACGACGCCGATTTCAACAATATGCCTTCCACACTTTCACCCACCATCTATCTCTCCCCCTGGTCCAACGTCTCTTCTCTTGCTCTCCACCAAAAAACCCGAATCGTTAGCAACAAGATCTCTCTCCCGATAGCGGCGAGAAAACAAAGAACCACCATAATCGACTTCCATACCCAGCCCAGAACCTCTCTCTCTCTCTCTCTCTCTCTCTCTCTCTCTCTCTCTCTCTCTCTCTCT